TCTTGACTTTGGTCTCTGTACAACAAAATTAATACTTGTGATGGCAAGAGGATAATAGTGGGGAAAAAGGGGAAAAGAAGGAGAGAAAGAGAAGCTGTGCAAGAATGAAGGATTCTTTCAACCCTGCACAAGATGCAAATCACTTAAGCTCTGACCGTATTTTTGAGAGTTGATCAGGCTCACTCAGATTCAGACATGATATCCAGGGACCGGTCCAAAAGAAGGATCAACAGCTGGAAGAATCGCCGACTGGCTCTGTAGACTCAGGCTCCTCTTCCAGGGGCTTCTGCAGTGAGCTGGACACGGTGCGAGTCTCCCGGATCTCAGCTCTGGCTGATGTAAGAACTTTAAAAATAGCTGGACACACGTACGACTTTCTTTAAAACCTCTCCAGGGTGCTCTTCGAAGGTTTTAACAGTGCTTCTTCCAAACAACAAAAGAGGAGAGGAACTGTCTTTGTTGGAAGTTGACTCTAAAAGACAAGGCTTTTTTTTTCTTCTCAGGTCCCTTTATAGTGGGTTCAGTTCTTATCTGATCAGCTCTGATGTATTGGGAGGGGAGGAAAAGAGGAAGAGAGAGAGAGACACAGGGTGATGTTTGCAGCACAAAGAATGTTGGAAAATGTGGTCTAATCACATCTTCTGCAATGACACTTGCACACTACATGGAAGTGTCGTGTTTTAAGTGGACTCATATGCAGAGAGGCAGAGACGGTATAATGGAAAAAAATAACAACGATGAAACAAAACTTACAATCAGTCAGAGAAAAACACAAAGAGCAGGAACCAGGAAGGCAAGGAAATGAAGACGATGGATGGAGGAGAGAACAAAAACACGGCACAGGGAGTGAGGGAGACACAACAGGGGAACTAAAGGCAACAAAGAATAACTAGACACAAGGACTAAAACATAATAAACTAGATTTACTAACTAAGGACCAAACTAAAGTGAAACAGAAACGAGGCTAAGCTAATCAAAACAAGAAGGCTCTCCGTCAGTTTGGGGGTCCTGAGCTGAAACACAACGATTCAATTCCCTGCTAGTGTCGTTGACATCGACGACCTTAACAAATCTCCAACAATGTCAGCTTGTGCACGGTTTTGGTCACACGTCTCAAGGTTATGAGTTTCTTTAGATCTGAGTGGGGAGGTGGATTTAATTACTGTAATGTCGCTGTAGATGTTAGGAAGACAAAACCTTCAGCCACCTCTTCTGTTCCAGGTAGGTTCTTCTGGCTTCACATGAATGTGCTCTTTCACTTCTCTCTCTTGTAACCAATGTAGGTTAGTTTTTCTAAATCCAGGCCATAGAGCGATTGAAACATGTGACAGTCTGAAGAGAAAAACGGAAGCTGAAAGTAAAGAATTAGATCATTTTAGGTCAGGATTTTCGTTGATAACAGAAAAGCAAAGACGGGCCATTTTTTTCTGTTCAATGCTTTTTTTTTATAATAAAACAAGACTTTTTTACAAACTGACTGTCGTCAGAGTTTTACAAATCTTCACAACTTAGTTAAACAAGCTTAAAGAGAAACAGGCAGGCATATGTATATATATATATACAACACAGACCATCCACTTCCAATACAAAAGTGACAAAACAAAATATAAAAAAATATCACTTCAGGGACTTGCAGCATTTCAGAATCCAGTATTTACGATAAAAAATAATAAAAACAAGCTTTTACACTTTAAGAAAGTAAAATTACACTTTAAATAAAGAAAACACTCAATTGCACTCCTTTATACATTCATATAACTGACCAAAAAAAAGAAAAAAAAAAGAAATGTAAAACAAACCAGCTTTACTGTGTAGCATTCCAGAACAAATGAAAATGGACAGCTGAGGAAAATAAATGTATTTCATTATGAAATCAAATTCTTGCTCTCAAACAGCGAGAAAGCTCTAATAAGTACAAATCAGAATCTTCAGCCTTTTTTTGGTTTTGTTTTTTTGTGAAGCAGCCTCTTGTTTACATCTTAACTAGATCTTAATTTTTAACAGACTCTGGTTAAAAAAAAAAAAGAAAATATTTCTAGGAAACAGATGTGAGAACACATTAGCTGTGGGGGTTCTTTTCTTCCTGTTTCAGGCTAATTAGATTCATCCCTACACACATTGAGACTTTAGATCCTGGATGACAACATTTGCCTGTGGGATTATTTGTAGAGCAACAAAATACGTTCTGTATGCATTCCTTATTCCTCTGTACTCAATGTGCTTTGCTTGGTATTTCCTCATCCAACACCGTTCTCTCACAAATGACGTTTTCCTCTGCCCAACGGCTGCTGTGTTCTTTTGCTTCGTATGTATCTTTTCACGTGTTTTCAGTCGGATAACGCATTTGTGTTTTCGAAATGCTGTCGGCTGCATAGTTTCATGTTTGCGCGTCTCACGACTTCATTCGTTTAGCTGCTTGTGAGCTTTGAAGCACGACTCATCCTGAAACATGCTCATGAACATCTTCTCGTACTTCTTGTGCGCTGACGTGGTCCCTATGATGCGGCTGATTTTCTTGAGGCTTTTGACGAGATACCGCGGCGCTTCCTGGCTGCGCAGCACCCTCAGGCTACGAGTCAGACCTTTGGCTAGATCCAGGTTGTAGTTTGCAGATTTCCACAGGTGGAGGATCTGCAGCAGGTACTGCCTGGGCAGGCAGGTGGAGACCACGGCCTTCACATCCTGCTCCTGGACCTTTACTCCCGGCAGGCTGTTGGTCACTTTCATGAGGTCGTCTACGGTCAGGTTCTTTAGAGCGTTGCAGCGGGAGACCTTACGCTCACAGTGGTTCACGCCTGGGGAAAATGCAGGGACAATGTTATTATGTAGAAGTGGCAGTCAGAAATAAAAGTGTGCAGCTACTTCCATATTTTCTTGGCTTTCCTGGTTTTGTATTTTTTTTTTTTTATTTAGCTACAAAAATAGCTTCAAGGAAAATTAAAAACCACCTCTAAAAAATTATATTAAAAAAAAAAGAAGTCTTTTTTTTATTTATACTTTAGTTATTAAGTTGATCAAAGCAATCTAAGGATTTTTCATTTCTAAACCACATCTTGCTGTTTCTCTGTGGCATGAAACGTACATTTCTCCTAGCTGCTCGGTAAACACCGGAAAGAAAAAGAAAATATTTCCCACAAAAAAGGCAAATGTATGATTATCTTCAGAACTGAGCAGTGGTTGCAACAAAGCTGCTCCTCGTCTAAACTTGTCCACGCGGCTTGATAGTCAATAAAACGTTTCACTGGTCACTGTTTTCGATCCTGGTCCATCCTGGTCCAAAACAATGACCAGGATTCCATTTTTTTTCCCCACAAACATTATATGAATTCCACAGCAACCAGTCATTTTAAGATATCTGTCCATCTCTACACCAGGGAAGTTAATGATTAGATATGAGACATGTTTCGAGGCTTCTAATCCATACCTTGTATGATGCCGTACAACTTGTCCTTGTTCTGCTCTCTCCATAGCCTCAGCAGGTGCAGGACCTGCTGCTGAGGAGAGCACACCTTCTTCAGCCTCTCCAGGCTCTTGAGATCAACCTTCTGTCCAGGGAGATTCTCGAGGATTCGCTCCAGAGGCACCGAGGACAGTCGCAGCGACGCCAGAGACTGGAAAACTGCTTCTTCACACAGAGTCGCATCTGGGAGGAATTATAGGAGAGAAAATATTCGTGGATTACGATATACAGCTACTGGATGCTTACCTGCTAAATATTTGGAGGTGGTCTTCAGAAAAAAAAAGAAAAAAGGATGAAGAGAAATGGGAAAGTATTCTTCAAAATACATTTTTCATACCAAAAATCATATTACTGTTAAGCTACAAATTATTCCTGACAGATTTATACTTGAAATAAATTTCTTTCAGTCATAAAGTTAGATCTGATAGGAAATTAGACGTCTTACAAAATTTGATATAGAAATATTAACTGCTTTTATTCACATTTGATTTTTAGAAATGGCACATTAAAAATGACATGCACTCAGCTAAATATCAGTTAAATAAATCACTGGGATTTAATTCATTGACATATCAGTAATGAAGCCTTTTTTAAAAAAAAAAAAAAAAAAAAGGCTGGCCAGCTTTTTGCACATAGGATCTTTGTGGATTAGCTTCAAGGCTGCTGACTATGGAAGGTCTTCTTGACATCACCCCAGTCTATACCTCTAAAATATTACTTCCAGTTAGAGTAAACATGTTCAAAAAATGTAATTTACTTTAAACCAAAAATTTGGGGAGTTTGAATAATTATCCTGACTCTGAACATAATAGATTTCGTTAGACTTTTTTTTTTACTCTGCTCGTGTTCTTACGTGTTTTTAACACATCATACCATTTGGAAAAACCACTCAGTCTTGTGTCTAATGAGGGAAACTAAAATGTTCCAGCAGCACAAAACTGCAAGTGTGAGGCTACAAAGAATACCTTAAAAGGCAAACTAAAAATTGCAAACAGCAGGGTTTGTTCAACTAAATTTGACTATTATAAAAATGCAGCTGTTCTTGTCACAGAGGACAGTCCCAATTTGCATATGACATTCAGAGCTGAAAGTAACCGGAAACATTTTTCTGCTTAGATTCATGAATTTGAGCAGGTCATGAAGCGCTTCTGTGCATATGTGGGGGTTTCTGATCAATTTGCAAATATTAAGTTTCCGGAGTGAGCAAAAAAAATAAATAAATAAAAAATGTTCTTTTGCAAACCTAGCGGTTGATTTTATATGAAGAAGGCATTTGGCTCGCTTCTCTCCTCCCCTGATGATGTAAGTGTGGTTTTCAGTCATGGCATCCTGAAATCCCTCAAAACTTAACAACTTTGGGAACCACCACTGATCTCAGTTTCACATTTTTCTTCAAACTGCCCGACCGATGCAGGATTAGCTGCAGACAGTTTGTGGCTATGTGCTTTAAAGGAAGACAGCTGGTGAATGAATGTTTGAGGGAAGCATCATTCTGGTTGAGGACTGAGAGTTTTGTGAATGATCTTCCAAATATTCTCCATACGGTGCAGGAGTGTGCCGGGGTCTGGACTTGTGAGTGATTTCTAAAGCTGCAGGAATTCAGTATCATATTTGAGGCTTTGCCTTTTTAAATATATTTAAGCATCCATGATAGCTGTAGTCTGAGTAACAAAGCCCCAAAAGCTCATTTTGTGTCTCATTTTGAGTCAGTTTCCTTTGTTATTGTGTTTGAGGATGTGACAGTTAAATGGGTAATTGATCCATCATGGGGTCATTCTGAATTGAGCGCCATAAACATTCATTGCAACCCTTTGTGGGTCTCTCTAGAGCTGGTTTTCAGACATGCAAGAATTAGCAAAGAAAGCCTGGAATCTGGAAGAGAAACCGGACTGAGGAAATCCCCCGCCTTGGGGAATGAAATTGACCACAAGTCTGAAATAGCTCAGCTCGGAATGATTTTAGGTTGTTGACAATTGAGGTCTACTCTAAGCGCTCCTACATATGCATGTGTAAAGGAGGGACGTGCTGGATATAAACTAACCCCTTGCTGGAATCGTTCTAAAGCTTTTCACATCCGTTGTGGCCTCTATGTTCTCACCATTGTGGCACAGAGTGTGATGCTGGGAGCAGTCCTTGATGTCAGGAGAGCCACACAGGCTGTCTGAAGTGGACGTTCCCCATCGCAGAGTCTTCATGCCGTAATCAGCACAGAGTCTGTGCGGCTGACACGTGGAGGAGCCTCCAGCAGAGAAATAACCATCCGGACAGTGTTCACACACGGTGTCGCTTTCAGGCGTACCTGCAAGACATCCACAAATAATTGTTTGGATTTCAAACTGACAGGATGGATTCTTTCCCTAACAAACAATGAGCAACCTCAAAAGGCACCCATTTGACCTGTTCACGCTTTTTCATGTTCCAACCTCGATTCTTGTCATCTATTAATGAGATTTCATGTGTGCAGTCAGTCATCACGTAGCTTACAGTTGTGCAAGTGGAAGAAAAATGCGGAGCGAAGAGAGAGAACTCGCAGCAGTTTGGCACTGCTCTGTCACATAAGAGAAAGCAGGCGAAATATGACCAGCAATTTTGCACTGGACATACAGTTGCCAATAAAATTTCATTATATTGGCTTGGGCATACAGATCTATCAAATGTACAGTCTTTTTCAAATGCAAAAAAAAAACTTTAATAATGTGGCCCTGCAGTTTTATACTGGCATCCCTAAAATCTAAGGGGAAATTAAAGGTTTTCTCCACCACTACGTGTCAGTCAAACCAAGTTTCCTACCAATCCTTATATGACACTTCATCAGAACAAAACTGAACTTAAGTGTAACAGAAAACCAGCACTGTACGGCGATCTGAACACTCCATCCCTCCATTCAACTTAGTGGCGTTAGCGTCACGAAGCATCCTGCGGGCGATATTTTCTCAGAAAGAATGCTGAAACTGGTCAAAGTTGGTCAAAGCAATGCGGAGCAATCCCAGAAGAAAATCTGTTACAGACTGCAACAGAATCATACAACCAGAGCCACAATGGACAGGGTTAGATCAGGCGTTTCCAAAGTGTGGCCCTCTAAATGATATTGTTCTGCCCCTGGCCACAATTCATGAGTGGAGTAAATACGGCACAACAAGAAGTATTTCTCTTTTAATAACTATGTTTGTGCTTTTGTGTAGTTTTGTAGTAAGAAGAACCCAAGCCTCCCTGGCTCCCAAATGATTACACTCGGCTAAATACAGAAATACTGACTCATCTCCTTTTCTTGTTAAGAAAAGGCAAGAAAAGAGATTGCCAAAAAAACAACAACAAAAAAAAAACAAAAAACAAAGTGATCCACCTCCTAAAAATGTTAATTATTTGCCTATCTTGTTAGGAGTTAATCAGGATTTTAATATTTTGGATCAACAGTGATTTACTGATTTTTTTTTTTCTGTAAAGAATTGTCCACTCTGTTCGTTTCATTAAAATTCTGCAATATTGACCAGATTAAAACAAATCATAAGAAATGTATTTTTTTTTTTTTTTTACTTTTCTTTTAAAAGGTTGCTTTTTGTGGCCTCTGTGTGCCTGCCTATGTCGAAACAACGGGCAACGCACCACTGCAGGTGTTTCACACAAAATGCCCTGCGGAGCACTTAGCTGAGCCAAATGAAGTTTCAGTAGCTTACTTGGTAACCTTTCATCTATAGCCGCCGTTTTCAGTGTGTGAAAATCTCCTCCCTCGTGAAGATCAATTAATCTGACGTAGTTCTAGGAACCAAGCCCGCAAACATGTGACCATCAATCAAAGCCACGGGTAACTGTATGAAAATGACTCAGACATGTCTTCCTCATCACACCCACATAGTTTCTATAACTTGTAATGTATCTGTAGTAGCAGTTTCTATATTACCACGTTGAGAACATGACACGTGATCATCATGGTTTTACATAAAAAATATCAGGAAAGGGATGCCGACTAGATATCTATTTTTTTTTCTTTTCTTTTTTTTCCACATTTCCTGCAAAGCAGTCCCAAAGGCAATTTCCTATCTTGCAAAATGAAAATCTGTTGCTTGAAACTCCAATTACAGGTGCTAATGAGGGATTCCTGGTTGGTAATATTACAATAAATGGTCTTAAGATTCTGGTACTTTCCCCTGCAGATCACATGACTACCTGACATAACAGACACAGTGGTTTAATCACTTCCTCTTTTTATTTTAAAACTTTAACCAAAGAGTTGAAAGTGCGTGGGAAGGCACCGCGCTCTTATCTGATATAACATCTTCATTCGTTTCCCGCTCACAAGGCATGCGTGTTCTGGCTTTTACTATTACGCAAAAACAAGAAACCACCTGCAGATATGCATACGGAAAATAGTTCCTGCACTGATGATGACAAAGCATGTACAGTACAGGCTTGTGAATGACACAGATGATTTAAAATATACGCTGACATTGACATGTTTTTCCTAAAAATGTAATTTTTGTCAAATTTTTCTTTTATGCTTCATAGATGTGTTTTAGAATAAACTCTAAAAAGGTATTGAAAACCCTTTTATGTTTTCTATATACAATTGCTTCTGAGATGTATATGCTTAACTAATTCTTAAAAAAACAAAGAATCTGCATAAATAATGACCCAGTGAAATGATGCTTTTCCAGAGAAAGTTTGTAAAATTGTTAAAATGAAAACATTAGATCGATAAGTACTTACACCTTATGCTATCACACGCAAACTTTATTGGGACCCTTTTGTCCTAGTTTGAGATTATTCAACATGACTTGCACTGCTTCTGCTTCTTTCCATTAATTTCATAGTTTAGTTTATGGTTCTGCTTTCATTGTTTGTTTGTCTTTATATATATATATATATATATATATATATATATATATTTATATATACTTTGTTTTTTTTTGTTTTTTTTTTTCTTTTTTTTTTTT